ATCATCATCATCATCATCATCATCATCATATCACACCTATACTGCATTCTGTGTAGGGCTGTCCTTGAACAGTACATGGAAGCTTCTGCTAGTGCAAAATATAGCTGTTAGGGCACTAACGAGCACAATATTATGATTACACTGAGAACTACTGTCACATAGTGGATAAGTTGTTGGACTAGGACTGGGACCATCCAGATTCATGTCTACCCTCAGCCATGAAACTTACTGGGTGACTTTGGGCTGCTAATTATGTCTCCACTCCATATATCCCACAGGTTTGTAATGAGGATAAAATAAAGGAAGATCTCCAAGAAAACTAGTGAACTCCTAGAGAAAATGCAGGATGGATTTGTTGGTCCCAAGGTAACAGGGTCCTTGGGGCTATAAATATGGCCACCTCTGTATTAGATACATCTTAACTATCTCCTCTTGGCTGGTTAAGGCCTCACAGGAAACAAGACAACATGCAGTTGTATCCAGGGGGTGGTAAGTTCATCCTTGAATAAGTGAATGGTCTCACCTGTGCTTAAGGACATAGTGGTCTGTCACTGGACCAAACAGAATTGGATAATATTGTCCTGTTTTCAATCTGGTTTGGTTGCAACTTCAGAGTGCCCTGGAGATAATAGATTATCTGGACCCCTTTCAGTCAGGCTTCAGACCTGGGTATGGTACTGAGATAGCACTGATGATCTTTGGTGGGATCAGGATGGCAGGGGCATCCATCCTGCTCCTACTTGACCTCTCGGCAGCTTTCAATACCATTTCAATAGCATTCATTATTATGTATACATGAACAACAGCTTTATCCTCCATAATTCCCAGAATATAGGATACTTTGCCTTCAAAAATAAGATTGGTCTCCACTTTTTCTTTATTTATTTATTAAGGAGTTACATCTTTTTAGTCTGACCTCTTAAATTAATATTGTTCTGATATAATTTTAGTATATTTTATTTGCTTGCACACAATTTTGGCAATAATTGTGCAAAAGCAGTCTATAAATACAAATAAATGATTAGAGTATAAATTAACAATACTTGTATGATTGCTACATTTTGGCCACAATTAAAAGCCAATCCATTCCATCTAAATAAACACACACGTAGAACACACAAACATATACATATAAACAATACTAAGTAATCTATATTTAAATATTTTGCTCCAGGTATTACTTGGCAAATTTAGAATACTGACCAGTTTTGCTTCAGTTTTTCTTTGTGTGTCTCTTCCAAACTTTTATGTGGATCCATAGCTTTTGCTCGACAATTCACTGATTTATGCATTGCTTGACATTTTTTTCTTTGTAGCTCTGCCCAGCGAGCTCCTTCATTCTCCTTGTATTTCTTATTTTCTTGGAGGAGCCTATAAAGATAGATGTGGCCAACAGAACATATTTATTTCAAAATGAAATCATAAATATATAAAAATAAAGTTTGAAGTAAAATCAGTTAATTTCTTACAATTAAGCTTTTTTTTTTTACTTTTTAAGCCTCCCTGTAATGTGTTTGATAACACCCTTTAATTCTTAGCTTTTTCTTGTAATGTGGAATATGTTTTCAAAGGTAATCCCTGTCAGATGTTGGTTTGGATTGGAACAAGGAAACATAGGGGGACAAGTCGGTGTAGATCATAGCATTTCTACTTGGTCAGCATTCAAATGACTTTGTTACCTTATTTTCTCCAAGTCAAGATATGATGAACTTAAGAAAGATTATGCCATTTTATGATGAAATATTTCTAAAAATATTACTGTAAATACATTTATTGTTCAATAGTATTTATAGAAATGTTATTACTTACTTAACAGCACTTGCTCTCTTTCTCACTGCATCTGTGATATATATTGGAAGTGTATTGGTAGAGAGGCATGAAAGACAAGTCAAAGACCTACTTCTTTGTACTGGTGCCATAGAAGGTTGCTGAAAATCCTGAAAGCAAAAATATCTATGGCTAGTTTTTTTTTTTTTTTAACTTTTGTAGAAAGCACAATTTTAAGTGCATGAGTTCTTTCATATGTGTGTACACTGTATGAGTATGTAACTGTTACTTTACCAACTTCCAAAAGCCTTGTTAATATGTGCCCTGTTAATACATGTACTTCCAAACTATACCATCGTTATCACACAGAAAATATTGACTGTTTTTTACCCAAGTTTCAAAAAAAATTCTTCTATGCAAAATATGCAACATTAAAGTCCTCAGCAAAGCATTCCTGAAGCCATAGGATTCTGCAATTCTCTCCTCTGCAAGTGGAGAGGGATGTTTGCCTTGGGAGGTCCTTGCAGATGATGGTAATGAGACACTATGGCTGTCTCACTGGCAGTGTTTTGCCTCTAAAAAAGTTAAGAACAGGGCATAGCACGGAGGCCAAACAGCCACAGCATTTTAGGTCATCATGTTTCTCTGGCACATCCTCAGGTCTCAAGCTACTCTGGCTCAAAACACGCTATATAATAAACACTGTTCAACTGTCAAAACCTTTGACTGAATAATGTCAGCTAGCAAGACTGAGACTTCTCCCACCATAGGATTGCTCTGGCTATATTGGAAATAAGTGTCTTATACCTGTAGTCTCTATTTCTTAATTCCTTTTCCCAACAGACCATAGAAATGAATATTTTTATGTTAGAGTTCCAGTGTGGCACCCAGGAACATCAACATGCCAACACATTTCCCCTTTGGCACCCACTAGGCTAACCATTCCACATTGCAAATGTGCCTGTCTGCCTAAAAATGGAACATTCTATTAAATTGGTGCTCTGCCCACCATGGCAGCCATTCTGTGAACCAGGAAGCCCTACAGAAGACATATTGCAAAAGCTTGTACAACACATTGTCCAAATGTGTCCACCAATCCAAAATGGTTACAGAGATCCTTTTCTATTGGAAATGCCATTAGCATTGGACTTCAAACATAAACTGATATTGTTATGGCTGTTCTTCTTTTATTCCACAGCAAATATATGCTTAATCTAAAACTTTCCCACTGTTGAATGATAGAGAATAATTAAATGTTTATGTTGAAGATATATTTGCATATGTAGGAGTACAAAGAAGTTAAAACAATTCCTTTACCATAATCTTGTCACATATTTTATGTCTGCAATTGAGATCTGACGTTCTCAGTCTGAATGGTTTATTACGAGTTGCTTCTTTAATTTCTTGTTTGCTTAGTACTTCTCTCTGAAATGCCCAGTAAAGTTCTTCAAAATCAGGCACTGATGTGTTAATTCTTGGCTTAAAACTAAAGTTGTCCTTTAGAAAGCTCAACTTTTGTTCCCTATTTTTGGAAGCAATTCGGGATTTTTTGTCCCTTTGTTTATTGCCAAGCTTAATGGGGGCCCAGGAGTTTTCCAACAATTCCTTGGCTCTCAACTGAATACGGATTTTTCTTAAGAGTTCAGCTTCTAGGGATTAAAAGCAAAAAAATTATGAACATTCATACTATGACAATTTATGTAAAAATATCACAATGGAAAATGTTAAAGTACAACAATCTTTCTCAATGTGGTACCCCTTTTGCCATCTGGAAAACCAGTTAGTGTAGGCATCCGGCTAGGAATTCTAGAGAGGTTTCTGCTGCAAAAAGTTTATGGAGACAGTATACTGAGGCTTCTAAATAATAACATAACAGAAATCAAACTCATAAACAAAAAGACAGAAATAAATAAAAGATGATTGCTTGATTATGTACCATCAAGTCAGTGTCAACTCTTAGCAACCACAAAGATTTTCTCCAGGAAAACTAAAAATCCAAAATCTAAAATATTTAAAATTATATAATAGAAAACTTCTTTGTGAAATATACAACCAGTTTGTGTGTATGTATTGTTTGTTGAATAAAGTCTTCTGCTTTCCCCAATTTATTTGATTAATTTACTTGCTCTTACATTGGACAAATCTTTGTATTGTGGTTGAATAAAAGACACAAGAGTTCAAAATCAGATTAGTGTGCCAATATTTCCCCTTCACAAATGAAGGGGAAATGTTAACAATCATCACTATATGTTAGGAAAGTGAATCTTTGTCTAGATGATATAATCTTTACCTTTGAGTTTATCCCCAAGCATTGGCTCATATGTGGACTTGGGGATCTTCCTGATCTTCGGTACTGTTTTCTCAACCGGGGTTAATATGTTCAGAACCTTTTGTCTGATGGCCTCTTTTCTCTTTTCTTCTTTTTCCTGAAAGCTGAAGGGTTTTTGCATTGAAAGAAGTAGCTCCCTTCTCTTTTGAGTTTCCACTTGTCTACGGATTTCATTCTTTTCCATTATTTCCTGGTAGAGTGGCAGATAGATATGAGCAGGCACAGGTTGTGCTCTGAACTGTTTCTGGCATTCTGCATCCTCTTGCATTTGCCTTTTGTATGTAGCTGACTCTATTTCAAGCAATGCATGTGATTTTAGCAATTGGGATTTTTTGTGAGTTTCTCTAAGAGTCATCTTGAAGGGCTGAGGAATGGTAAGAGAGGAAATCCAGGTAGCTGAGGCACTCTTTGGTTTTGAACAAGACTGAAGAAATGAGTAATGATTTTGCTCATCTTTTGAGCTATCTAAAGTGATGTCAGACAAAGAGTTCCAACTTCTTATGTTACCACATCTGAGAATAAGATTAAAAAATAATGTTAAGAGAGACACAGTTGATGACAAGTTATATTAGGTAAATGAAATAAGCTAGGGTATAATTAGTATAAGTTTTTAAGGCTGTGTATTATTAATCTCATTACATTAAACATTTCATTAAATATTCTTTAAAATATTATACTTGAGTTTGGGTCTGTTAATCTTGAGGGAACAGATAGTTCTTGGGATTATAATTGCAGCCGTATTTTAGACCTTCTAGTTGGTTAGGGCCTCTCAGGAGGAAATGTGTGATTGGATTCATATGCTGGTGAATGCATCCTTGAGAGAAGGGGTGGTCTAGCTCCTCCTAAAGAAATCATTGCTGGATCCAGCAACAATTTTTGTCCAATAGTCAACTTTCTCTTTTTAGGGAAGATGGTTGAGTTACAACTTCCAAGGGCCACTTTCAGTTTGGTGTCAGACTGGGATAAACCACTGAGACAGCTTTGGTCACAGCTTTGAGGAACTGTGGCAGACTTAGGGAGGAAAGAGGCGCTCTTCCTTTTCTCATCAGTCTTCAGTACCATTGACCATGGTATCCTCAGGGGATTAAGAATAGGGGACATGATGTTGCAGTGGTTCTCCTCCTTTCTGCAGAGATGGGTTTAGTCAGTGTTGATGGGGGGATGATCAGACATCTAGCCCTGAATCTCTGCTGTTGTGCCTCACGGCTTTACCCTCTCTCCATTTTGGTTAACACCTATATGAAGCTGCTGGTAAGGTTATATGTTAGCACAGGGCCAACCATCATCAGTATGCTGACAATATTAGTTGTACATACCTGCCTTTGGGTGACCAAGTGATGCTGTCTAGTGCTTTTCCAGTTTCTGGAGGTTGTGGGGGTCTGGATGGGGTCTCAACCTGCCAGTGGGTTTTCTGCCCTACAGGATCTGGATCAAGGGATTTTCCAACTTTAACTCTGGTTGGGATTGCACTCCCCCACTCACAGCTTGTCTACAATTCAGGGGTCCCCTGGACTCACGACTCCTACTTGAAGAGCAGGTGGCAGACATGGCCAGGGCTTTTGCACAACATCTTGTGTATTAATTGTATGGTTTCTGGATCAGGAGGTCTCTTTACAGTCACTCACACTTCAGTTATGTCTGTTTAGTTATTTTTTTTATACATGTATGCCACCCAGAGTCATAAATTATGAGTTGGACAGCCTTATATATCCTTTAAATAAATAAATACCTGTACAGTGATGTATGATATGAATTTTGCCATCTCCATGATTTACATATTATTTGTTAATCCCATGGAAAAAAAACCCACTCATCTTACCTCAGACCTTTATGGAATTTTGTTGGCAGCATCAATCTTCCACTGCCCTGGAAAAAATCTTCCAGTTCCTTGTCTTTTATGGGTGGATGATTATTGTTTTTCAGCTTTACTTGATACATGAGTCCTAATTCTAACAAACATTGCTTGTTTCTTCTTTTGAGGGCCTGAAGTGAGTCATAAAACTGATCACATAAACCTGAAGTAGCTACTTGGTCTTGCTGTGGCTGGAGAAATTCCAGTAGCTCATTTCTGTTGAACCCAGTGATGTCACTACCTAGTTCCACTTCTGATTCTGACTCTGACTCTGTTTTAATCGGAAATACCTAAGCGAAGCAGAATAGTAAAGCCAAAACATAAAACAAAGGAAGAACTTTAGAAAAGATGTTTGCATTTCAAACATACTGATTGTATTATCAAATGGCTCAACTGTGCATTGATTCAATTAATTACTATTTTCCTTCAAGGTAATCTGTTTCGATGTTAGATTCACTTTAATGTTGCTACTTCTATGTATATACACTTTAGAATAAGACCCTAAATTCAGCCAGGATTACTTAGAATAATAATAATAATTACACTTGCATTAACTAGATCCAATTTTCATAGTTACTGAAACATGTCATTTTGCCAGCCACTGTCGGTTTCTCCAATGGCATCAGCCATGATGCATCCCACTCAGCTGGTCTCCAAGGGTGTGGCTAATGCAGCCAGAGGAAACCTCCAAGGACAATCATGGAAAAGACCAAGTCGAGTTAAAGCAGCCTCCATCCCCACATAAACAATCCACTATCCATCATCCCGTGCGTTCGCTTACCCGTTGTGGATCTTCTTGAGGGGACTCTGCTTCGGCTCCGCCAGCAACTTCCGACACTGTCATCTCTCTTCCGCTATTGTTATGATCTCCAGTATTAAACAGCTCCAAGCTTACCGTGTTGTTGTTGCTCTGTCCAAAAGATACCCTCCTTTTCTGTTTCTCTCACATAATGACTAATGATAGTGGGACATGCTGTTAAGTCCCGCCCCTTCTAAGATATCATTGGACAAATTCTGTTAACCTGCCCGTTGTCATGGTGCTCATGAATCCCTTTCCGGTAATGAGTGGTGGTTATAATGACGAATTCGTCATTTCCGAAATGATGGCTGCCGGAGCGGGATTGTTGTCAGGGCGAGGCGTTGGATTTTATCGTAGGAAGAGACTTCGGTTTTTTGCCGGGTCTGTCGGCTCTTTATCGCGGCAGGGCTCAGTGAGAACCAATGGCTCGGACGCAGTGTACGATGTGGTGGTGTCGGGTGGTGGCATGGTGGGAGCCGCCATGGCTGCTGCTCTCGGTATGAGATTGATCATTTGGCAATAAACCTCCGTAAAGGCATCCCAGAATTCTGCTGGAATCTCCTGTTTAGACTTTATGTAAATCTCCACAGCTTTCCCTAATTTGATTCCCTCCATCCTGGGCATTGGGAATTCTTGCCCAATACTTGCAATGAGAACCGGTTTGGGGAAGGTTGAATCAGAGAATCAGATCGGTTCTAGGCCTATGGTGGTTATTGTGGCCCCATAACTTATCATAAAATGTATAAATACTAAGAGAATTATAAAGAAATTTGTTGCATAATTCAGTGTGCACCTACCAGTAGCAGTGTTTGAAGACCAGAGAAGGGTAGCTTCCTCTAAAATGCTAATAATGTGTATGTTTGGCTGATTTTAAATGTTGAAGAAAATACTGATTTTATATTTTGTAACAAACAGTTTTCATGTACTGGAGTACTGAAATATAGTTCTATCAATGCAAACTATTTTATTAATTTACAGGGCTTACATGCTGCTCCAATTGAAATAGATTGGGTGGCTTACACACCCTATGTACATAAACAAAATTAAAAAGAATAAAAGTAGTCAATAGGAATGTTGCATTTTTGCTGTTTCAAAAAACAGGTCACATTGCTATAGAGGAAAGAAATATAACTATTAATTTAATTCTCCTTTTTAGTAATGTTTTTAATTAAGGTTTTATGTATTTATATATTTTATGTTTTTAA